CATTCCTGGCCTGGCAACTTCCAGCAGATTCACTTCTCCACCCTGCTCCCTCCTGGCCATGGGAGGGGAGGAGCCGGGTGGGCTGGCCCTCTTAGTAGGGAATGCCTGGGGTCTCCACAAGTACAAGGATTTGATCCCTGCTCTGTTTCTTTCTACCTTGGTTCTTCAAGGCTTGGAGGAGGACTCCAGCCTCTCCATCTGGTCTCTGGCAGCTCAGATCATCCTGACGCTGAGTGAGAAAAATATCACCACCGTGATTTACCCTACCAGCCTTGCACAACAGACTCTGAAGAGCATGGGAGAGGTGGCATCCATCTTGGGGAGACAGCTCTGAGCAGCAGTCCCAGAGCAGCAATGCCAGTTCTGGGATCACCTGCACACTGGGGCTACTTCAGTGTGCTGGAAAGTCTGGGTTGTTCCTGGTATCTCCCCTTTGCCTGCAGGGCAGCTCCATCCCTCCGGCACATCCCATCCCATTAGCGCACTGTTGGTTCACCCCTCTGCTGTGTTTTTCCCTAAGAAGCAACTCTGCTTTTTCAGCATGTGTTGGCTAAAGGGAAAAAAACTCAGCCACAAAGGAATCAGGATCATCCTGAGTCCCCTCTTCCCGGCAGCCAGTGGCAACGTGGATCATACCCAGGTACTTTATCTCTGAGGCAAAGCACCAGTTGATCTGCTGGCTTCATAACAAGGATCAGAAAAGCTGTAGCTGCTCCTGCCTTCTCCAAAAGGAGACACCAGGACAAGAACTCGTGTAGGACTTGCATATCATGTGAAAGGGGATGGAAGGGGAAGAGCATGCAGCCTTAGATCTTTTTCCCCATCACTGGCCACCGTGCATAGTCCTTAGAGCTGCATACCTTTTGTCTCAGGAGCTCTGTGGTGAGGCTGAAGGGAACCAGCACAGGGGATGGTCTCCTGTGATGTTGGTCCCTGTCCTAAATGTCCCAAGACCTTAGGAGGTACAAGAGGATCTGTCTCCATCTGGCCTTGGTCTAAACACCGAAAGAGAGAAAGGCGTTCCTAATAGGATTCTGCCTTGAAAATAAGTCACCTCTTTTGCCACCACTGGCACAGAGGAGGGCACAGGGCTGGCCCCTCACCCACACAGAGTTCAGCTGATGTGGCTGAGCTCAAGAGTTGCAAGGCTGTATTGCAGACAAAAAAGTGACTTGCAGAAATTTCACTTAATTTAATTTATTGCCAATTAACATACACTTTTTATTACTGATTTGGGTATTGAGAAGCACAGAAGACATAAAAAATTACACAAGACCTTATGGAAATGCCTTTCCTCCCCCTTTCCCTGGCATGACTTGAGCTGTCCATGAGTGTGGTCACAGCTGTGATAAGAGACTTCCACACTATCCTTAAACTACTGAGACGTGCCCCTTTATCCAGGGAGACAAAAAGGCCTTCGCCACAAGGAGCAATGGGCCATTTACAGGCAGTGGTCAGCAAATCTGTAATGGCAACAAGTAGCAAAAAGCCAGCGTGGGACTGGTGCCTGAAAATAAAGGAAGGATTTTTGCCTTTTTGTGTTCTAATAAACCATTGTGTTTATTTCTTAATTCCTTTCTCATTTAGGTACTTTCATGTCCTGCCTATCACAGCCAAATGTAAAGTCTCAAGGCTCGCGGCTGATTCTGCCTTGTAACACCACAGCGAGACAGAAACTATCCATCCTCTCTGTTTTTGTGGATGGGAGCTAAGCACCTTTCCGAAAGTGATGCGGGAAGTCTGAGGCAGGAGTTCGGTCCAGGCCTCCTGAACCCTACGGAATGGCCTGCCATCCCATTTGCCTGCTGTTCTCTGGAGAAAAGAGAAACCATGTCAGTCTGACTTCTTTAAAATAACTTTTTTTGGTTTCAGTGTATGACTTTCACTTTTCCTTGTGTCCTCCAGCAGATCAGTATAGGCTGCATTACAATAGCCAACCAAACCTGTTCCCAAAACAGCACTATATTCCACCAGGAAAGCAACTACAGGCTTTCTGGATGCTAACCCAAAGTTGTATCTGAGTCACATGTCCTTGAATTTCATGCTCAGAGTTTCCTCTGACAGTGCTCAGCCTGCTCTTCTCACCTGCTGTATTACCAAACAAGTAATTCCTTATCCAGGAACCAGGCTGCTGCTTGCTTAGTCCATGGAAGTGAAGCAAGTAAAGTGCTCTCACACACCTCAGTGTGGCTCACATGCTTGCTCTAAGATCACGCTTCCACCACCCAGCACCTGATGGTGCACTGAGCACTGTGTTAACATTTCCAATGCTACTGTGGAAATTAATTTCTGCTTCTTGAAAAGCAACAGCATTTTTAGAGAACCATAGCAGGGAATCGCTTAAACAGGCACTGCAAAGGCCTTCAAAAATATTTACTCAGCAAAGTCAATACTGGGCTCCATGGATTTGGCAGAATGAGTCCTGTGAAACTAGGCTGTTGCTGCATGCCATGCATGCCAAAATTGCCATGGAAAAAGCTTCTCTCCAGTGCTATCTCCTGCTCTTAAAATATACCCTGCACAAACACAGCAAAATATAGCTGGTTTCTCTGTAGCATTTGCTCTAATAATTTTTCCCATGGGGTTTTGAACCCCGCCTTCTTATAATCAAACTCCTCGTCCCAACAATGTGGTAAGCTTTCCAACATCACAATAGCTTGAAAAGCTCAGTGAAGAGTAGAAGCATTCATAAAAGTCAGACTTAATGTATTTTTAAATAAAAATCTCTTTTTTTAATGCACACAGTTCTTTCTGTAACTTTAGGCACCATTTTTGCTCTTTTTATTGATAAACAGACTAATCTAAATATTTTGAAGCACTCATGAAAGGAAGGGGAAAACCTTCATTCTTACACCCCTCCAATATATTTTCTATTTTCTTCCAGAAGGAAATTCCAGGGTATTTCTCTTTATATTCACACTATTCGTATGCCTAAAATAAAGTAGGTATCAACTGAGTTTAAAAAAAAAATCCACAAGCTTTACCATTTTTGAGGTCCCTTCCAACCCTAACCATTCTATGATTCTATGATCTGAATTTGTCTGTTTTTTCTTAGCTGTATCTCACGAAGAAAAGTCAAGTCCTGTAGACTGATTTTCTTGGGCTTTTTTGTCTGTTCAGCATGAAATACTGCTGGTGGCATTGTGAGAGCAATAGCAACTGGCTTCACATCACCCTAAAGATGACCCTTCAAATCACCTTCCAAGTCTGGCCCAAAAGAGGTCATATGGCACATTTTTGAATGAACGGGCAGTTTAAACAGTTTAACTGCAATGACTAATTTCTACCATCGCAAGTATATCTGTGAGTCCATATTAATTTTTGTATTTCCTTATTTACTGAAAGAAAGATTGTTTGGAGAGAATAGAGCTATTCCATTATCTCTGGTAAATGGAAAGGCCCTATAGCTTGGTCTGAATGGCGGGGCTGAGGGGCTTACGCTCCCTCGTCACCGAAAAGTGGCAGAACCCATCCTCTCCTTTCTGTGACCAGGGGTTTAAATACTGGGACATCCCCACCACTACCCCATAACAAGAGAGCTGGGAAAAAACTACAGCTTTCTGTGAAGGACTGAGCTGAGAGGAAGTAAAGAGAAAGGACCAAGCGTCTGGGAGTACCTGGGGATTTTGCTCTGAGATGCATCCCAGCACAGCACATGTGGCAGCTCAAAGAGGCTCTTATCTCAGCAGCTCGCTCTCGCTGTCTTCGAAGTATGTGGTAATGGCCCAGGCGTCTGGCAGAGCAAATAACCAACCCCAACTTTTTCCACCTACACACAAACCTTGGGGCAGAGGTGCTTGAAGGAGTCAGCACTGACGAATGCAAAAAACATGCTCCTCTTCCTGCAGATACCTCTGTTTCCTTGGCTCTGCTCTGTTTTTTTGAGGTCCTGCCACATATAAAGAGGAGCCAGAGCAGCCCTTGGCTCAGTCCTTTCTCCAGGCATCAGAGGCAGCTGAAGAAGCAAGGTGCTCGATGCGCTGGGCAGACCTGCTTGTCCTTCTCCCTGCAGCCCCACACCAGCTGGTGGCTTTCCCCTTCGCTGCTCTCTTCCACCACCTCTGTGCTTCGGGGCGCCTCTCTCTGACTGCCCGGTACGTGGTCGTCACTCCTGCTGCCGTGCCGAGGGCAAGTCATGCCTGCGGATGCTTTCTGGGGGCTCTCCTGGCCAGAGGTGCAGCAAGACGCATGGTAGCAAGTCCCTGCCGACTCGGGTGGGGACATTTGTATGGTTTGGATGTGGGCTGTCCCCAGTTCCCTCCCTCTGCAGGGGGGCCAGTTCAAGGTTGTTAAGGACAAATCAGACACTCCAGTGCTGTGGGAGATGGGTTTAAGGGTGTATCAGGATGAGCACGCAGGCAACGGGAGCAGAACAGGGAACAGGGACTATCTCTGGCGTGATTAGGATGGGCACCAGGCAGGGCCAGCAATATCTGCCTCAGTCCTCCCCATTCCTGACTGCCACCACGATGGCTCTGGTCATCCCTCAGTGCCACGAGAGGCCAAGAGGCAGACTACAGCCTGTGGAGACTGCAGGACCCAGACTAAGCTCCACTATCAACACTGTGGCAGGAGTTTCAAGCCCTCTTTTCCCAACACAAGGCAGCCAAAGGGCATCTGATCTCTTCTAGGTACATATTCCTCCTTGCTGGAGGATGTCTCCTTGCTGGTACAGCCATGGGCAGCTACGCTGTGTTGCTCCTCATCCCTGCTGCTGGCTCCGTGCTCATCCTCCTCTCCGTCAGCCCAGCTCATGCCCACAACTGGGTCTTCGCCTTCCAGATGTCCTGGCAGACACTCTGCCACCTGGGCCTGAGCAGCCAGGAGCTGGACCCACAAGATGCCAGGTAACACCCCGCTCTGCCTCCATCCTGCTCCTGCCCTCAGTGGGCTGGGAGCCCTCCCGGTCATTTTGTGAGGGTGGAGGGCACTCCGGGCCAAACCATCTGTTCCACAGCCGTCAGTCTCCACTCCGGCTCTGACCACATCCCTGTGTGTGGGCGATGCCGTGGGCACGGCAGTGCTCTGGGGACGTGGGACAGCACATCCCCCGTGTGCAGCCTTGCGCCCGTGCTGCTAACGCTCCCTTCGAGGGACTCGCAGCAGCTCTCAGGTGTCCTCTCCTTCCAGGCCAGCCATCACCCTTTCTGCCATCATGCTGCTCACCCAGAAGGCTACATCTCTGGCCCTGGACGTCCAGGAAGGGCTGGTGCCGCTCCAGCTGGCCCGGGGGCTTTTGCAGCGTGTGCTGCCTCTCTGCAGCTACCTGCTCTTTTTCCCAGCCCTCCTCGGGGGTCCCTTGTGCTCCTTCAGCAGGTTTCGGGCCCGGGTCGAGTCCCCGGGGGCTCTGCCCTGCCCACTGAGGGCCGCCGGGCAGCGGTGCCTGTGTGCGCTGGCCCTGCGGGGGCTGCACGCGGGGCTTTTTGCTTGGCCATGCCGGCGGGCAGGGACGTGCCATCCTGCGCTGCCTGCCCCACATCTGGGCACGAGCCCTGCTCCTCAGGATGGCCTACTACCTGCACTGGGTGCTGGACGAGGCCCTGCTCGAGCTGGCGGGCTTCGGGC